ATCTGACACCTCTCCAAATAATAATTCATCCTCCTCACCGGATGAGACTATTATACTCCCACCCCCAATGACAGGAGATGATTTTACTCATTTTGAGGACCTGTTCAAAAGAGTGGCTAATGAGCTCAAGATCACTCTGGAGGAGGTGTCGGAGACTCAGCATGAGCTGACCGACATCTTACAACCTTCAACCTCCTCCAAGATTGCCCTACCTATTAATGGAGCCCTTATGGACCCTGCCAAGAATATCTGGCAAACCCCAGCCACTATACCCCCCTATCTGCAAAAGGGCAGACAGGAAATATTATGTCCCCTCCAAGGGCTCAGAATTCCTTTTCATGCATCCAGCACCAAATTCACTGGTAGTAGAAGCAGCCACCCAAAGGAACAAACAGCAGCATTCCTCTGATAAGGAAAGTAAAAGAATGGACCTACTCGGCCACAAAATTTATGCATCATCTACGCTGCAGTTCAGGGTAACAAACTATGCGGCTCTACTAGCCAAATATGACCACAGAAATTATGGGAAATTCATGGACTTTATTAATGACATCCCAGAAGATGAGACAACAATTCAAAGCAGTAGTCTCTGAAGGGCAGATTATTTCCCGCATGGCGCTACAGGCTGTCCTCAATGCTGTGGACACAGCTGCCAGGTCCACTGTGACAGCCGTCATTATGTGTCGAGCTTCATGGTTTTCCTCCTCTTCTTTCCCATGTGAGGTGCAAAACATCATGGAGGATCTCCCCTTTGATGGCAAAAAGTTATTTGCAGCAAAGACCAACAAGGTGCTGTATACCATGAAGGATTCCAGAGCGATGCTGAGATCCCTATGCATCCCTACACCGGCAACTAGAAGAAGACAATACAGGTATCAGCCTTGCCAACGCCCACGATACCCAGCCTACACACAACAACACCAGAGGCCATACGACCACCAGCAACAACAATGCCAGAGACCTAGGCATCAATCCCACTGCTCCACGCCATCGGCACCGTCCCAACCCCCTCCACCTAATAAGCAGATTTGAAGCCTTGGTTGAGGGTATAGAAGACCTCCCAACCACTCCAGTGCTTATACTTCCCATCCAACCTTTTGGCCACCGTTAGCTCCCATTCTACCACAACTGGCGAGCCATCACTATGGACAGATAGGCCATAGAGGTTCTCCAATTGGGCTATTCCATCCCCTTCCTGTCCATACCACCCGCCCCGTCCCTCTTCAGGGACCCCTCTCATGACCACTTGCTCAACCCAGAGGTGCAACATCTTCTACAAATAGGAGCAGTGGAGATGGTGACCGATCAGCACAGGGGAAAGGGGTTTTACTCCCACTATTTTTTAACAGATAAGAAAAGTGGGAGATGGCAACCATTCTCAACCTCAGACGACTCAACAAGTTTGTCAAAAAGCAAAAATTCAAAATGGTTACCCTCACAACCATAATTCCAGCGCTGGAGCAGGGAGAGTGGTTTTCAGACCTTGACCTGCAGGATGCTTATTTTTATGTAACTATACACCCCGCCCACAGGCGTTTTCTCAGATTTGTTATGAGTTCAAATCCTTACTAATACAGGGTTCTGCCCTTTGGCCTCTCAACAGCACCCTGCATCTTTTCCAAGATTCCTGCGGTGGCAACAGCGCACCTAAGGAATAAAGGAATGATAATTTTTCCTTACCTGGATGATTGCCTGCTCAAAGCGCAGACTCTTGAGGAGGCCTTCCAAGTCACACAGATGACCATCGACTACTTCCAGGGTCTTGGACTACAAATAAACAAAAACAAATCCACATTAACTTCTACTCAACGACTGGAGTTCATAGGCGCTCACCTTGATTCCATACCGGACTCTCATCTCTCCCATTCAACAAATTCAACACTATAAAGAATCTGGTCGCCAAATTGCAGAACAGCCCGCAGGTCACTGTCCTTGACTGTCTGCAACTTCTTGGCCATATGGTCTCTTGCACTTTTGTGGTCAAGAATGCACGCTTCTACATGCGGTGCCTACAGGGTTGGATGACCACTGTCTACAGACCAAAAGTGCACAGTTTAAACAATCTTCTATCCATACCTATCAAAGTCAAGGACTCACTCACATGGTGGACTCTTCCACACAACCTCTGCTCCGGAGTCCCATTCGTACAGGATGCTTCCCTCACAGGTTGGGGGCCACACATGGTGCACCATACCACTCAGGGACTACAGTCCCCTACAGAAAGCTCACTATACATAAATTTGTTAGAGCTCTGAGTGGTCTGCAATACCTGCCTCCAATTTCTCCCAAGAACCAAAACATCAGGATCATGACCGACAACATTGCATGCATGTTTTATATAAACAGACAAGAGGGAGCTTGATCCCACTTGCTCTGCACCGTGGCTATGAAGCTTTGGAATTGGTGCCTCCAATACAATATCCAAATTTCAGCCTCCTACCTACCTGATTCACTAAAACTGCTGCGGGCGAGCTCAGGAGATCTTTCCCCCCTAGATCACGAATGGGAGATAAATGATACCCTCCTACACAACATATTCAAAATATTGGGCTACCCTCAACTGGATCTTTTTGCAACTGTGACCAACAAGAAATGCCCGGAATTCTGTTACAGAGCAGGCCTTGGAAAGGACTCAATGGGAGACACGTTCATGATCAAATGGAAGGACAATTTATTACACACATTCCCCCGGATACCATGTCTTCACAGAGTATTACAAAAAATACGAGCGAGAGGGCCAGGGTCATACTAATAGCCTCTACGTGGCCCAGACAGGTGTGGTACCTATTTGTAACAGGGATGTCTGTTTCCCTGCCGATTCTGCTCCCCCCCCCACCCTTCCAAACCTATTATCACAACCCAGGGGTCAACTACACCACCCCAACATAATGATGCTACACCTCGAAGCATGGCTCCTTAGTGGTTCTCTAATGAGGAACTAGACTGCTCTAAACAGGTACAAATAATACTGTTAAAATAGCAGAATGCAATCCACACGTACCACCTGTCTCCATAAATGGACTAGGTTCACTCACTGATGCTCCATCAGGCAAACCACTCCTGCTTCCACGCCTCTTTCATTAATACTAGACTATCTGGGCTCTCCTTTAGCTCTATAAAGGTACATCTAGCAGTAATGATGGTGTTTCACCATAAGACTGGAGACACTACTATCTTTGCCCATCCCATCACAAAGTGGTTCCTCAAGGGCCTCCAGACCCTATACCTGGACATTAGACCACCCACTCAACCCTGGGACCTGCACTTGGTTCTCAGATGCTTGATGCACCAACCATTTGAGCTGCTAGCAACATGCTGCCTCCTACATCTATCCATGAGAACTGCATTTTTAGTTGCGATTAGATCCACCAGACATGTAGGAGAACTTGGATCACTCATGGCTGACCCATTGTACACTATATTTTTTTAAGTACAAAGTCATGCTCTGAATGCATCCCAAATTTCTTCCCAAGGTGCACTCGTACTTACACATCAACAAACCTATCCACTTACCAACCTTTTTCCCTAAACCGCATGCAAATTCTTTTGAATCAACAGTGCACACACTTGACGTGTGTAGAGCATTGTCCTTTTACTTGGATAGGACTAAGCCTCCCCTAAACTTTTCATTTCAGTCACAGAACGATCCAGAGGCAAATCTATCTCTACTCAGAGACTATCCAACTGGATAGCAGACTGCATCCGCCTATGCTACCAACTAAAGAAGATGAATCCTCCACCTTCTATTAGGGCCACGCCATGAGATCTGTGTCAACATCTGTGGCATTCTTATGTAACATTCCCCTCACACATATTTGCAAAGCCGCCACCTGGGCTTTGGAGCATACCTTTGCTAAACATTATGCTCCTACTCAGGGACCCCGACCAACACTTGAACGGGTCGAGCTGAGCTATAGCTTTCTTACCAGATCCGAAGTCCCTACCTCCTTAAGGGATACTGCTTTTTAGCCACCTGGAATGGAGCACCCAGGGACATCTCTCAAAGAAGAAGAGGAGGTGGTTACTCACCTGTGCAGTAACTGATGTTCTTCGAGATGAGTGTCCCTGTGGGTGCTCCACTACCCACTCTCCTCCCTCTACTTCGGAGTTTGGGGCGGTCTCCATTGTAGAGAAGGAACTGAGAAGCCTGGGCTGCGCACATGATATTGAGGCACCATCAGTGCATGAGGTAGGCACCGCGTGTGCACGGCCCATGCGGGTACTGTTGTAAAAATCCCCAAATGATGGCACAGCGACGCACCAACACCTGGAGTGGAGCACTCACAGGGACGCTCATCTCGAAAAACGTCAGTTACTGCACAGGTGAGTAACCTACTCGTCTTCTTAACAAGTGACTAAGATAGTGAGCCAAGTGGTTGAGTGAGTCAATTAGAACCTTCTTAACCTTCCCTAACAAGATCAACACTTGCTAACAGGGAAGGCTGTACCAAAGAGCTAATAATAATAATAATAAACGACTAATAAAAACAGATTGAGGACCTGAAGGCATGTTTTAGAGGCAGTGTCTAGAGTGAAAGCTGTTCTTCATGCAGTGATGAGAGTGACAGAAACACTCATGATTTATTCTTGACCCAGTCCCAGAGACAGTGGAGCATGGTTCTTCAGCAAAATAATTAGCATTCTCTCTCTAATGGGCCGTATTCTCCTCACTGCTATGCCGCGTGGAGTGGAGCAGTAAAGATGAAATGCAGTATAAAATGAGAAGATGTGAGGCTAAATGAAGCAGGAAGCCGCCCTACTGCAGAGCCACTACTGGCCCCTCTGCAGAACTTCAGATGCAGAGCCACAATTCAGCCAAGGGTGTGACCTAATACATAGGGGAGGAGTCAAAGGATATTCACTGTAAGTGGCATGTTCCCCTTGGGGGGAAAGGGCCATTATAACTTATGCAAAATTATTTTGAGACGGGGCAAAGGCAGTTGTAGTTATTTGTAATGATTTCTTGGGAACAAACTGATGCTGTTTATCTTTGCTTTTAGAACCAGCATTCCTCAGAGTCGTAGCTCTCATTCCTTGAATAAACAACTCATAATCAATATGGAACCACTACAGCCCCTCCTCCCTTCTCCAAGTGAGGAAGAAGAGGTTTCTTTAGATGAAGGTGAGTCAATTATCTGACTGGTTCATACTCAAAATCATAACTGTTATAAACTGTTGTTAAAACATTCCTGTACACATGGAAAGATTAATTAAAAGGTGCAATATCAACTTAGTAAGTGTGGAAATAGCTGTACAGTTACCATTAGGAATTACACCATTAACTCCTCTGTGCATTGTATTGAAAAATTATTACTAATTCTGAGACTTTTGTGGTGTGAAAGCTCTATGCAAGTAGAATGACTTAAGAATAATTGTCTTGGTGAGGAATTAATGGGGATTACAGTTTTGAGATCCTCAGGTGAAAGGCACTCAAAAAAACAAACACAGAAAGCCTCACAACATACCTGCAAAATAGGTAAGAAGTATGGGGATCATTCCACTAAATAATGACATGCAACGAACTCTGATGGAATGCGGCAGCTGTTTGAGATTTCACAACAAAACTACATAGAATTTAAGGACATAGTGAAGAAGAATTCCAGCCCAAATTTTCTGCTAATGCAACTCCATTGACTCCTGTCGACATTATTCTGAGGACTCTTTGAACATTTGAGTATATTCTTTATATAAAGAGGATGTCTACATGTGTGCTTATTCACTGCTTTTTGCCCACATTCTGCACCTAACTCTCAGATGACGTGTTCATTAAAGATCCCATAGCATGGTTTTTAAAAGTAAGGGTATGAATCTCAACATCTTGGCTTAATTTCAACATAAATAATTACATTCTTTCTACCTAAAAATTCCCCCCTGTGGAATTTCCAGAAATATGGAAAGCCAATGGTATTTCACCAGAGAATTTGATTTCATTGAGCTGGAGATGAAATAATTTGTGGTTTCACCTTGCTGCAGCAGGAAGTACTAGAAATCTCACAAGTGTGTCTGTTTTCATAAGAGTTCTACCTTCCTTTTACAGACCCAAAAAGTGAAATCCTGGCTCTATTGATGTCAAAGGGAATTTTGCCTTTTACTTCAGTGGGGTCAGGATTTCATCCAAAGGGGTTGGATGATGTTTGGCTAAGCATTTGAATGTTTGGGTACTTAGCTAAACATCTGGTCATTCACCCATTACTGTAGATAACTATGTAATTAGTGTTAATTTACAATAAATGACTTGTTAGCTACAGCTTTGAAAGGTTTGTATTTATGGTGACTTCATTATCTGGTTACCAGATAACCACCAAATACTGTGTTACTAGAAGACAGTTACCACAATTACAGAATAATTCGAAAAAAACAGCCTTTTTTTGGCAAAATCAGCTAATGTCCCTTCTGTAGGGTTTCCTAGCTGCAGAAGTGGATAAGATGAAAAGGGTGCAGTAGTGAAATCCAATTTTGAAAACTGTCAAGGGTAGTGCTCACTGGATAATGTTGATAGACTTCAAATGAATAACATGTACAGTTCAGTAGCCACCTTGACTTTCAATTAGATACTGATATAGTTACTTTAGATTTAAAGTTGTAAGACCTAATGCGAATGTTTGTCTATGGATTGTCTCCTAGGAGGAACCATAAGCATAATTAAATTACTATGACTGCTAGTAATAATACTTAGCACTTGTATATTATTTTCCTCCATAGATCTTAGTGTCTTTGTTATGGGGTTTGGGGTGCGATCAGCGGCGGCTCCAGGCACCAGCGCTCCAAACGCGTGCCTGGGGCGACAAGCTGCGGGGGGCGCCCTGCTGGTCCTTGCAAGAGCGGCAGTTAGGCCGCCTTTGGCGGCATGCCTGCGGGAGGTTCGCCGGTCCCGCGGATTCGGCGGCAATTCGGCGGCGGGTACACCGAAGCCGCGGGACCGGTGGACCTCCCGCAGGCATGCCGCTGAAGCCGCAGGACCGGGGACCTCCCGCAGACATGCCGCCGAATCCGTGGGACCGGGGACCTCCTGCAGGCAAGCCACTGAAGGCGGCCTGCCTGCCGTGCTTGGGGCGGCAAAAAAGCTAGAGCCGCCCCTGGGTGCTATCCAGCCCAGTGAGGGGCTGTGTCACCACTTCCCCTGCAACCTGGATGCCTCTCAATGCTTTGCTGTTGTAGCTTCCAGCCTGGGATGTTCACAACTAGCCTGCAAGCATACAGGTCACACTCTGAAGTGTCTGTGTGCTAGACAGCCCTGGTTCAGAGGCTGTGATCTCAGCAGCCTGTCTACAGCCCTGCTCTGGCTTCCACCACCAGCTGTGGTTACATCCAGCAAGGTGATAACACCACACTCCCAGTCCTCAATTTTCTCCAACCCATATGCTCTGTGATGTCCAGCCCTCTCGTGGACCACTCAGAGAAATAATAAGGTTAGTTTGTTCCTCTAAAGACACACAAGTACATCACATCTTATTAACTGGGGTAAATACACTCTTCCTTTTAAACCCACAGTGAATTAGTTTATAGTTAAAATAAAACAAATTTATTAATAATAGGACATAAGTTAAGTAATGCCAAGTAAAAGGAATACAGTTAGAAAGGAAATAAAAGTGAAAACATGCATCTAAAAGTCTAAACCTTAATCTAGCAAATTATGGACTGTTCAAGATGGTTTCTCTCATCAATCTTCCTTCTTCCCAGCCATGGCTTACTTTCCCTCAGTCAGGACCTTCCACATAAGTACAAGGCGCTGTCTTCCCTTGTCTTCCTGGGCGAAAGTTCTTTGCCTAAGCAGGTTTCTCAACTATATTCAGTTTCCAGACACTTTAGACCCTCTCTCCACCTCCCCAGATTGAAGGACCCATCTTTCACAACTTGTGTGAACTCCACTCCCTTGTTCCTGTCTGGTGATCGAGGGAAAAGATGGCTTCCGTCTTTTCTTAGATCTTCCAAAATTCAATGACTTCTTTTCAAGAGTCAGGATGACCTCGTGCTTTTCTTCCCTTCCTGTGAACTTCCCAGTCCTTTGCTGATTTCTGTGTAAATGGGGCTTCTCTTGTTTTGATTCCACAATGCTTAATTTACATAGGAGACAGGTAAATAGCTGCCTTCTCTCCTGTCTGGCAGGGAACCTGTTTCTCCCTGTTTGGCCACAAACTTTAATAAATATCATTAAGTATCCATAAATCCTCATAGTGTTAATACAGGCATTTCACAATGATATTAATTAACAGTTGTGCTATCAGCTTTCAGAAAAGACCTCACTCAGTACACTTGTTTATAATACAGTAATATTGTATATAATAATTTGATTTAATATTGTATGTATTCAGGTCATTCAATTCTCTTGAGGTTCAGCCCTCCCATCTTTATAGACCTGTAAACCTTTCAAATGGATTCTTCTGAGTTTTTCCCCTCAAAGTAAAGTTCATTTAAGCTGTGAGGAAGGCAACCTCATGAGGCGATATTAACAAGATTGGGATTTTTCAGCTTGGAAAAGAGACGACTAAGGGAGAATATGATAGAGATCTATAACAGGAGTTCTCAAACTTCATTGTACCGCGACCCCCTTGTGACAACAAAGTTACTACATGACCCCAGGAGGGGGTGGAGACCGAGTCCCGCTGCCTCGGGTGGAGGGAGAGGGAGCTGCAGCCTGAGCCCCGCCAACCTGGGTGGGGGTGGAGTTCGGGCTTCAGTTTCAGGCTTGGGTCCCAGCAAGTCTAATGCTGGCCCTGGAAACCCTCATTAAAATGGGGCTGCGACCCACTTTGGGGTCCTGACCCACAGTTTGAGAACCGCTGGTCTATAAAATCATGACTGGTGTGAAGAAAGTAAATAAGGAAGTGTTATTTACTCCTTCTTATAACACAAGAACTAGGGGTCAGTAAATGAAATTAATAGGCAGTAGGTTTAAAACAAAGAAAAGGAAGTATTTCTTCACACAATGCACAGTTAATCTATAGAACTCTTTGCCAGAGGATGTTGTGAAGGCTAAGACTATAACAGGGTTCAAAAAGAACTAGATAAATTCATGGAGGATAGGTCCATCAAAAAGAACTAGATAAATTCATGGAGGATAGGTCCATCAAAAAGAACTAGATAAATTCATGGAGGATAGCCAGGATGGGCAGGGATGGTGTCCGTAGCTTCTGTTTCCCAGAAGCTGGGAATGGGCAACAGGGGATGGATCACTTGATTACCTATTCTGTTCATTCCCCCTAGAGTACCTGGCATTGGCCACTGTTGAAAGACAAGATACTGGACTAGATGGACTTTTGGTCTGATCCAGTATGGCCATTCTTATGTTCTCTGGTGGAGAAGGAAGCTCCATGCTCTTTCTTCCTCCACTTGATAGCTTAATAGCTTAGTTTACTTAATATGTAAAAATGGACCTTCATTGTCTTTGTCTGAAGACTGGGGTGGTCAGAGAATCAAATACACATTTCTTTGTCTAAGGCAGACCTATCTACCAACTCTTCCTGCATGCCTACTTTAAACACACTTTAGTCATAATTCTAGCATATATTCATAACTCTTAATACCCACGGTGTGCTTACATCATACAAGAATATTAATTATCAGTGAGTTATTAGTTTTCAAATGATACCTCACAAGGCATATTTTGTACAAAGATTATTACAATAGTGTGAAGAGTGTGACTACAGAGGTGCTTGTGTCAGTCTTATGAACAGGGGTAAGCATTAATAGTTGCTTTACACAGAGTCTCAGAGCAGTTAAATGACTTGTCTGCATTCACATGGTTAACTGGTAGCAGAGCCAGCAGTAGAAACCAGGTTTCTTGACTCCCAGACCAGTGTTAGCCCTGTCAATATTTCACCTGCTAGCCTAGCACCTCTTGCTTGTCCCTGAATTTCAATCAACCTTATATGTGGTAGCTGAATGAATTGCCCAATATGCAGTGGCTTGGTGGTTTCTTGTGTTACCATTTTAATGAGCTCCTTGAAAATATCGCTTTGCTTCCTAAAATTGCCTGAGAAATTAATTCACAAGTTGGCCAAGTCTATGAGAAGTATTAAACGAAATTACTTTACAGAAACTGCCAGGCAATGAGGTAGATTTCATGCCAATTATTTGAAAGTTGCTAAGTAACAAAGATATCAAAGTGAACTACAGCACAGG